GGGGCGGAGCAAGGGATTATTGTTGTTATAATTTTTTTTCCCTGAACAATCCCACCAGTTCTTCAGTTTGTCTGCAAAGGAAATGTAGGCATTCAGATGTTGGCCGTTGCTGTCGGCCGAATGCTCGGCCAGCCCCGGCAGCAGTGCAAGGACGTGATGTTTCCTGTATATATATCTATATCTATATATATCTATATATATATGCTTTTCCTTTCCCAGTCTCTTGTCAGGGACAGTACGTCGCAGCTGGGACGTCGGTGTTGAGTTGGAGAATCCAGAATGAAGGCCCCTTCTTTACGGTTCTCTGGCTTGGGTTGGACCAGAAACGCCAGCATCTCTTCACAGAGGTCAGGATTCCTGAAGCCAGAGGCGTTGCGGGGAGAAGATGCAAAGGAAGGAGGAGGACAAGAAGAGTTAGTAACTTTTGTCACTCATCTTTAAATACATGGCAAGAGGTTGTCTTCCCTGTCTTTACCGTGTGCCATTTATTATGACTAGGGAAGACAGAGTGACTTGTCCAAGGCCACACAGCTTATAAGAAAGTGGCCGCTGAGAACTGAAGCCACCTCTGTCTGACTCTCTGACTCCAAAGGCCATGCATGTTTTCTGGGTTGTTTCCAGGCAGGTGGTATCTTTTACTTTGGCTGGAAAATTTGTCCAAGTTTCCTTGAATGCTGAAAGCTAAGATTATACTTGTTTCATTTTGTCTTTCTAGCTGCTCTCAGTTCTAAGAAATGTTTAGTTGTGATTGCAGATCTTCTTTTTTTGTCTTTCCCTTCTGTTTGCCACTGCCTGCTGTGTCCTGGGGGTTAAACCCCAGAGACGAGTGTTTAAGTAAAGAAACTGGAGTCTGGATTCCAACTCAGGTTTGACTCCAGAACTCAGTGGTTAAGGGCGGGGGCTCTGAAATCAGACAATCCTAGTTTCAAATCCCATTCCACAGTCTACTAGCTCTGTCATCTTGGGCAAGTTTCCTAACCTCTTTAGACCTTAGTTGCTCCCTCTGTAAAATGGGTCCCACCTCACGAAGTTGTAGGGAGGATTCAAGACAAGGCTCAGCATATAGTAAGTGCTGAGTAAATACTGGCTGTTCTTATTACTATTGTTGTTAACTTAACCACATTCGATCTCATTCAGGGCAAGGGCTGTGTTTTACTTATTGTTGTCTTTCCAGGGCCCAACACCATGACTGACACACAGCAACTACCCCAAACCATTTAACAAGTGACATATTGTCCCTGCCCTTTGCCACTTACATATCGTCCGGTGCTAAAGGAGTTGTAGAAATTTGATCCTTCTCAGCTCATTTGACAAATGGGAAAACCGAGACCCAGAGGGTTAGCAAGTTGGTGGCAGAAACAAGGTGAGAACCCTAAGCTCCTGCTTTGGAATAGGTCATCCCCACCCCCATTTAATTAAAAATTTGAAAGTAAGAAAGCTCTGGGAAGCTGGCTGGATGCTGCCCTCTTGCTGGCAATGTTTGGGAGACAGGTCTTGCCTGAAGGAGACAGGCCAGTGAACAAAGATGGAGCAGAAGCCACACGTCTGGCCTGTGAGTTGCAGGGAGAGAAGAGAAGACTGTAAGATGGGCGTGATTTCACAGTCACAGCAAGAACTTCAAGGAGGAAGAACTTCATAAAGAGATCTACTGGAGCAGGGACAGGTGTTCCTGGAGGATTCAGGGAGAGGAGAGAAGATGACTGGCAAGATGGATGCCCACGTGGAAACAGGGTCTCGTGCACCAGGCTGGTGATAGAAGTTTAGGGTCTGACTTGCTCAGGGCTCTCATCAACCCCTCAACGTGACAAAACTATTGGGACAAGGAAGCAGCTTCACATCGCCGAGCACCTTCTGTATGTGAGATACCACCTGGTACATCATTGCTATGGACTGAATGTTATGTCCCCCTGAAATTCACAGGTTGAAGCCCTAACCTTCAAGGTGATGGTATATGGAAGCGGGGCCTTTAGAAGGCACTCATAAATAGGATGAGTGCCCTTATAAAAAGAGACGTGAGAGAGATAACTTCTCTCTCTGCTCTCCACCACGTGAGGACACAGAGAAGACGGCTGTCTGCAAACCAGAAGAGGGTCTCACCAGGAACCAGACTGGCTGGCACCTTGACCTTGGACTTCCCAGCCCCCATAACTGTGAGATATTAAGTGTGTGTTGTTTAAGCCACCCAGTCTACGGTGTTCTGTTACAGCAGCCTGAGAGGACTCTGACACTCCTAGATGTTGTTTAATTATTACAGCAGCTCCAGTTTAATAGATTGACTCCATTTTGTAGATTAGAAAACTGAGGCCCAGGGAGGTTCCTCTGGGCACACTTTCTGAGTCCAAAGCTGGGTGTGTTCTTGCTACTCCATTCTGCTACTTTCTGAGGATTTTTTCCTACAGTGCCGGCTTCACCTTAAGTTTCCTCATCGATTAATAAAAGTGCCTGCCCAAAACTCAGTGTACACATGATTCTGGGTTTGTGGGATATCTTCTAAAGCCCACAGACACTTCAGAAGGACCGAGGACATCTAAACAACACTGTATGATCATGTATTCTTCTGTTTATTACAGCAGAGTCCGAACGGGCAGCATTTTGTTAGCTTACTTTGTGTTAATAGTAATCATAGTCATAATTAACTCTTATTGAGCACTTACTATGTGCCGGGCATGGTGCTTACTACTGTAGATGTATGATCTCAGTAACCCTATGAGATAGATACTGTGAACAGTCAGAGTAGTCAGGAGATTAAGGCCATAAGGCAGTTTTGGAGTCTAACAGATGAGGTTTGACTCTCTAACCAATTCTTTGTGTTCCCAGCTCCAAATCTGTGAGCAAAATCGCCTAACATCTCAGAGCTTCAGTTCCCTTCTTTGTAAAATGAATGAGCAGGTCACAGTACTGTGCCTAGTGCACAGCCAGGTGCCTGGAAGAGTGTAAGGACTCCATAAGTTACCGCAATTGTTACTATGTCATTGTCATTGTCATTTGGCTGATGAGGAAACACAGGCCGAGAAGCTTAAATAGCTTGCTCAAAGTTGCGCAGCTAATAACGGTCAGGATTGAGATTCGAGTCAGGACTATCATCCCGGGTGCCAAGATGCATCCATCCATCAAACCAACATTTTTCAAGTACTTTAAAAAAGAGTTTTCTAATTCAGAGAAGACCTTTCCCCCAGAATCAGTGAGTCTGACTATATTAAAAGTCAGAGGTGGTTCCTACTTGGCGATAACTAATGGGAAAGCAGGTGGGCAGAAAAGGCAAGGGAGAAACTTCTGTTTCTCAAGGACAACATAACAATGTGACCTTTACAGAAGGATCCAAAAGAGAGAGAGAGGGTGTGTGGTGATGCGTGGGACAATGGCAGCAAAGAAAGGACTAAAACAGGGGCGAGGAGGAAGAACCGCAAAGGGAGCAGTGAGGTAGGCAGATGTGAAAGACTGCATGGGGTGGGCAGGACGTGGAGGCTGGGACGAGAGCTCCAAATGGCCAGGGAACGCGGGCAGGCAGGAGCCTGGGGGGCTGGCTGGGCTGCCCCAGGAAAGACGAGGAGGAGTGAGACGGGGAATGGAGAAGATACGAGAAGCTAGGAAAGCAAACAAACAGCCAGAGGACTGTACATAACTGGAAGGGGGCTTGCCCATCTCTTCCTTTTGCAAATGAGGAAACTGAGACCCCAATGGCCACACAGCCAAGTCAGCAGGATGGCTGGGATTGGAGTCAGGTCCTGATTCCCAGCACAGAGTTCTCTGCATTAGTGGCTCCTACACCTGGCTGCACATGGACTTCCTAAGGACCAACGTATAAATAAAGATTCCCAGGTCCTGGCCCAGCACTTCTAAGTCAGACTTTATGGCAATAGTTTTCTAGTATTTGTGTTCCCCAGCTGATACTGCCTGCCCAGCACCAGCTTGGCAAGTGACCTACACTCTACCACTCTGAGATCTGGGAGACAAAAAGCAACAATAACTGGGCAACTGACAGGACAGGAGTGACAATTTACTTGAAAGTCTGAGGAAGGCTGGGAGGCAGGCTCTGCCCGTGATCAGTTTATACATCTTCTACACCAGCGCTGTCCAACAGAAATGAAGCCACAGACGGAATTTAAAATTTTTTAGATAATAGATTTTCTAGACAGTACTTTCTAAATTTTCTAGTATTTCTGGTTTCCTAAAATTTTCCAGCTATACAGAAAATTTTAATTTCTAAATTAAAATTCATATGTTTTAATTTACATGAAAAAGAGTAAAAAGAAACAGGTGAGATTAATTTTAATAATGTATTTCACTTAACCCAATATATCCAAACATTATCATTTAACATGTAATCAATATAAAAATTACTGAGCTATTTTATACTCCTTTTTCCATATGTAGTCTTCAAAATCCGGCACCTATTTTACCCTCAAGGTACATCTCATTTCAGATTAGCCAATTTCAAGTGCTCAACAGCCGTGTGCAGCTAGTGGCCCCTACACTGCACAGCACAGAAAATCATTTCCATCACTGCAGGAAGTTCAGTCCTTTTCCTTCTGACACGAAGCGGGTGGTAATCAAAGGATGAGAAAGAAACATTCTGTATCTTTCTAGAAAACACTGGGTTTCTTCATCAGGGAAGAGGACAAAAGGGAGACCTGCTGTTTGTGGGGGACTTTGAAATGCATTTATTTTTCATTGAGGTATATGGTGTGAAGTAAGTAAAGTATACAAATCTAAGTGTGGAGCTTGGTCCACTTTTACATACATACACACCCATGCAACCCCCCCAGTTCAAGACGCTGACATTTCCAGCACCCTAGAAGTTCCCTTTGTGGCTCTTCCCTGTCAATGCCACATCCCAGAAGGAACCGATATTCAGACTTTGATCATCGCTGATTAGTTTGGCCTGTTTTTGAACTTCCTATGAATGGACTCACATTGTATGTACTTTCTGTGTTTGACTTATTTCACTCAATTCAATGTCTGTGAGATTTTGTCATTATTGGTCTGACCAAATTCAGTAAACTTCTAGACGGGCCAGAACCCTTCCCCCAGCTTCCCCCAATTTCAGCTGCTAAAAGACCTCTCTGCTCCAGCACCATCTCATTCCTCTTATTCACGAAGGCACTGATAGCCCTTCAGTGGAAAAGAGTAAGGATTGGGGTCCCTAAGATTCTCGCCCCTGGTGGCCTGAGAAGGGCTTCCAATCTAGCAAGACAGATGGGATCGAGGGCTCTGGCCATCATATTCCTCCTTGGCATCAACTAGACTTCAATTTAAAAAATTAAAAAATAAAATAAAATTGGCACAACATTGTAAATCAACTATATTTCAATTAAAAAAAAAAAAAATTCCTCCCTGGCAACATCCAGTGACCGGTGATGGAGACAGAGAGTCAGGGACAGGAATGTGGCCCTGGGCCTGGCAGGACTTTTTCCGACTTCCAGCCTACAGGCAATGGCCAGTGAGGGTACGCCTGTCTCTGTCTGTCCCATCTCAGTACCCACTGTCAATCCTCTCTCCCCTGTTCTGACCACTTCTGGATTGACTTTTCTCGGTCTGGAGCCTGAAACCCCAAAGAAACCAAGGGACCAGCCTTCCTTCCCCCTCTGCACTCTGATTCGTCGTAGCTGAGGGAGCTACCTCTCCACTTGGAGCCCCAAACCAGGGAGCTTGGGGAGGTCAGAGCTGTGCTGGGGACCAAGCCTCTTGGTGGGTCCTCAGACGGAAATGCCCCTCGGAGGACCTTGTTCTCTCCTCTGTCTCATGGCCGCTGAGCCCCATGAGCCTCACCTGTGGCTTCTTGTCCCTGTCCTCTGGGGATGGGTCTGTTTCTCTGTATACGACAGCTTTGGTTACCAGCATGTCAGGATGCTGCAGTTTGGCCTCCTTGATGGCCAAAGCCAGGGCCTGGAGGAAAAGAACGGCAAAGTGAGGAGTCAGAGCATATGGAATACGGGAGAGGCCACGGAGACCAACAGGCCCCTCCAGCACACAGCTGAGGACCAGGAGTTAAGGGGAGAGGCCAGAGCTCAGGTCTTCTGGCACCTTCTGACTCCCATTCAGTGCCCCTTCCTTGAGGGCTTCTCCTCTGGACAGGGTCAGTAGGAAGTGGACATCTCTGCTCACAGATGCAGCCGTCCATGGGTAAACCAATACGGGGGGGCCTGGGGCCTGGGCAGTGCCACTGGGAACCATGCTCCCCATCCCCATACCTGGTCTTGATCGACATCTTCGTCCCCGGTGATGATGATCCGCTTCTCGATCCTCGTCTCAGAAAATCCTCCTTTCACAGTCTGCAGAGGGAGAGGGAGGTGAGGCCAGCCTCGGGTCCTGCTGGGGCAGCAGCCTCGACAGGGGACCGGTCCAAAGCATCCCTCAAGGGCAAGGCTGGAACCAGCAGTCGCCTTCTCTCCTAGCTCCCTCAGTTTTTTCCTCTTTCTGGTTTTGGGACTTCAGACTGCACATCTTGCCTGGCTGCCACCACTCCCCCAACTACCAAGCTGCCCCCTCTAGCTCTTCCAAGCCCGGTTCAAATGCTGTCACCCTGACCCTGGTGAGCGATCCTTCCTCCTCCCTGCCTCGGTACTCCCTGAGCGGCAAGTTCATATCTCTCACGGTTCTGGGCCTCTCTGCCTTGTACTGACGTTGTGTGTGTGACCTGGCCCTGCTCACTGGGCTGGTGCTCATGAGGGCAGGGGCTGTGTTTTGTTCATCTCTGGATCCCCTCCTTCCCCACTCCCCTGTCCAACCTGACCAGGACAGGTGCTAAATGCGGATTTGTCGAATGAACACATGAATGAAATGTGAATGGTGACAAGGTTCTACTTTAAATGACTTCAAACAATACTAGAAAACTGCACTGATGATGCTTATACCATATGCTTAAAACCGCCACTCTTTTCTGAAGGGGTGGGGTTCGGGTGCAAGTTTAGAAGTAGAAGATGGGGCAGGACCTACTTGCTTGGCATATTGAAGGCGGGTGGTGGCTAAGGGAAATCCCAGCAGGGGTCGGGAGTGGACAGAAAGAAGAGGGGGGCTCCCAGCTGGCAGGGCTAGGAGGGACTTTGGTAAGAAGAGTTATCTGAGCTGTATGCAGTGGGGTGTGTGATGGAACACCTTCCCATAAAGCTTTCAGTGACGTCATCATTGCTCACTGATGCTTTTGGTAGGAGTGGGTGCTTTCTGGGGACCGTGCTGCATGGGAGTGGGCAGGGCTGGGACAGTCTGTGCTCATCAAGGGCCAGCACTGCCTACCAGACTCCTCCTTTGATGCCTGAGCAAAACCTCCAACTCATCCTGGCGCTCTGGCCTCTGTCCTCCAGGCCTCCATCCCTGCCCTGGGCCCTGGCCACTCAGGCATGGACATGCTGGCCAGCCTGTCCTCAGCCCTCTGTCCTCATGGGCTAAGTCATGGCTGTCTCACCAGGAATGTCTCCCTTCTTTGGCACTGCCTCTTCCTCCCCGCACCCTGCGCCAGGCCCTCCATCCCTAGTCTCTCTATGGAGAGACTCTCTCTCTCTTCTTTCTCCCATCTGCCTGCACATCCTGGTGGACCTAATCTCCTCTCCTTAAACCCCTTTTCACTGGGTCACTCCCCATATTGAAAACCTTGATGGCTTTCCAATCGCTCTCAGACTCAGACCCTCTGTTATCACATTTGTCCTGGGATTTGTCTTTTGTCTCTATTCTGCTTCCCCTACCTCCAGTCCAACCTAATTTCCCAGTTACGTCCCCTACGTGCTGCTTCTTCCTGACAGAGACCGCTTCTCCCGTTTCCCCATGTGCATTGCTTGCAGCCCCTCCAGCAGCCCTCAGCCCAGAGGCCAGCGTGAGGTTGATGCTCACTAACATTTGCTCAGTGAATGAATAAGCAAACACACGGTTTCTGTTCCCGTCTTCCCTGTGGCTTAGAACGTCTGCATCCTCCCTCACGAGTCCGCCCTGGCTTTCCAAGACGCTATACAAACCCCATTTTTTCCAGAAGACCCTTCCTCATTCTTTGAGCCTTCCTTCAATCGCTCCCCTCTAAATCCCTCTAGCACTTAGGATCTATAAGGCGCAAATGCCACGGTTCACAATTTCTTCCAAGGAGACGGTCTCATCCCCCCAGCCTGGCTGTCAACACTGAAGGGCAGGTCGGCACCTAGGACAACCCTTATCACAGAACAAAGCTCCCAGAAACTGGGAACACCGCAGGTCTTCTCTGTCCACATTACAAGGCAGAGCCATGGCAATGACCTTCCCGAGCCCCACAGCCAGGCTGGGGGCATACGACATCCTGCTGCTACTCACTTTGGTAACATGGGTGGTGGTGGAAGTGGAGAGGGTTTCCGCGGTGGCGCCGTAGGTGCTGGTGAGGACATCTTTCCCGATGATCTGCAGAATATAACCACCCCCCACCCAGGGCTCAGGTGAGGACACTGGACTCTGCAGGACGGGGGCGGGGGTGGGGTAAACCAAGGGAGGAGTCGGGGTGGGGGTGGGGTCCCATGAAGGTGAAGTTTGGAAGCCAAGATGCTTTGAGACACTGAGTCTAAGAACTCAGGAATACTGGAATCTTCAGAAGCTAGACCCATGATATCCTCAAACCTTGGAATCTAAGATTCCTAGGACCTGAGATTCCTGAGGTCCAGAATCCTAACAAGACCCTAGAATTTAAGAATCCTGGCATCTTACAAGAATGAACAGAGGGATCCAAGGTGGAAACAGAGCCCTCCCAATCCCCCACCCTGTCAGGGCTGGGAACGTGCTCTCTCTGGGACTAAACGATGAAAACAACAGAACTGGAGAACACAGGAGCTGCAAGAGACCTCACAGTGACAGACGTGGGCGACTGAGGCAGCCACCAACAGAGCTGGGTCCAGAGTCCAAGCTTCTGGAGCCCTAGTCCATTGCTCCTCCTGGTCAGTAAGGAGAGCAGATGCAAAGCAGCTGTCACATCACAGGCACCACCAATGGATGAGACTCTGGTGGGGACCAGGGAGCCCTGTGGGCATCTGAATGTGATGCCATTTCCTGGTGCTGCACTTAAAGGGGCAGCCTCCCACGCTCTACGCCGTACTTGCTGCAGGCCACCTGTGGACCCGCGTCCACATTCTCTGCCTGGAGTCCCCTAGCCTGCGTTGGCCCTGCCCACTTACCGGAGAAAGAGAACGGATTTCCGTGGCCACCGTCTGTGGGCCTGGGATCATGGCAGCTGCCCCCTTCCCGGACTTGAGACTGTTCTCCTGGGGAAACAATAGTGCTCAGAGGGCCAGGTCTCAGGTGGGCGGGCCCTCAGGATGGCTGGAGCACGTGGCCATGCAGCTCTCACGGCCACAAGGTTGAATAGTGACGTCAGAAGCAGAGAGCTGAAAGCATCGTTCAGTCCAGTCTGCTCTTGTTCATCCCTCGCTCGCTCGCTCACACACATGCTTACACACTTACCCACTCATTTAACAAACATTTACTGAGTGCCTGGCATTAGGGACACTGTGGTGAACAAGACGCGGTATTGCCCCCTGGAAGCACTAATAAAGGAGTCGAGACATCCACGTTCTGGTCCTGGCCCTGCCACGTTCCAGCCACGTGACCCGGACGGAGCCACTTCGGCTCTCCGGGCCTCAGGGATTCACCTACATGAAGGGACCCCTCTAGTGTGTGTTCATCAGTGGTAACAAATGTCCCATCCTGGTAGGGGTGTTGATAACGGGTTGGTGGTGGGGGCTGTATGTGTGCCGGGGCAGGGGGTCTACAAGAAATCTGTACCTTCCTCTCAATTTCGCTGCGAACTGAAAACTGCTCTCAAAAAATAAAGTCTTGAGAAATTTTTTTAAAAGGGGACCCCTGTCCCACTCTCACAGAGACATTATGAAGATAACAGAGGAGAAAGGGCTTTGCAAACGGAAATCTGTCAGGTAAATATAGGAGTACAGGCTGGCTACTAAGAACATACTAACTACTGTTTTCTGAGTACTCGCTATGTGCTAAGTATTGTGTTAAGGATGCATGAACTCATTTAAGCCTCTGAACAACCATAGGAAATTGTTTTAATATTCCTGTTTTATAGCTGAGAAACTGGAAGGTCAGGGCATGTTAAGTGGCTTGTTCAAGCCCCCCTGAAAGTGAGCGATAGAGCCTGGATTTAAACCCAAGTTGGTCAGACTCCAAATTCAACGCACTCCTTCTGCCATGCCATTCTGCCCTTGGAACACTTACCCTTGAGCCAGCTCTCCTGGTCCTACCTTGGAATCTAACTCCTAGATGATCCTGGAATTGGCCCCAGACTTACTGGCCCACATCTGGAAGGGGCCCAGCTGCCGGCCTCTACCTCCTACTTCCTGCCCCATCTCAGGGCTCAGCCTTGTCTGTCCAGGGGCCCAGAAGCTGTGTCCATTCTGCAGCTCCCCAGTGGGCCGCAGGGTACTAGATCTGGATCTCTGCCTGCCAGGGGACAGGTGAGGACAGAAGCCCTCTGTCTTCGCCCCACCTTTCCCCGAGGGCTGCCTCCAGCTGAGGCTGTCGGTGGCCTGATTACCTGGCATTCCATGCACAAGGCATTTACTTTCTCAGAGGCAGTCCCAGAATGTGGCCCAGCAGCAGGTCTTAAAAGGGCAACCTTCTGGGCTCAATGCTTCCTTTCTCCCAGGGTAGGAAAGAGCCACAAGCCCCTTTGAATCCTACTGTCCCTCCAGGCCCTTCTCCCCTCAAGCTTCTTCTTCTCCCATTGACCCCTCTTTCCCGGAAAAGCCTCACCTCCACCTTCACACTGACGGGGACACAGGTCATTCCAAGGCACCACAAGGTGCCAGCTGCTCCGCCTGCCTCTCCTGTATCTTCAGCCAGTTCCCTCTCCCGCCTCTAGGAGGCGCAGCTCCTCTCCGTGGCTAAGGTGACACCGCCATCTCCGCCCCCGGCCCTTCCTCCGGCGGACTCCGGGCTCTCCTCTTCGCCGCCTCTGTCTGGGACGCCTCAGCCACTCAAGGCTTCCACTGCCTCATCGAGGCCACTGTCCCCTCTCGCTTTATCTGTAGCTCAGATCTTGCTTGAACCCTAGACTTGCCTATAGACACTTTCCCCTGGAAACGTCCCACAGGCGCCTCAGACTCATCAGACCCAAAATGGAATTCGCTGCCTCCCACCCCCAACACACACCTGCCGCTAAAGAGCACCCCCCCGCCCCGTGCTCCTTGTTCCTATTAGTGCTTCTCAGACTTGAGGGGTGTCACCTGGAGGGCTTGTGAAAACAGAGACCCCCCCCCCCGGGCCCCGCCCCGGAGCTTTTGAGTCAATAGGTCTGGGGCGGGGCCTGGGAATTTCCTCCCTAACAGGTTCCCAGGGCCGCGCTCGCTCTCGGAGACCAGCGGGGCTGGTGCGCGGCGTCGCGGCCCGTCTTTCCTCCTATCACCTGAACGTTCTACCAGTGACCCAATCCTGTACTTTGCTCCCTCCAGGCACCCTCAACCCTGACCTCCTGGTCAGCCTCCGACTCCGCGCACCCTGGCCCTGCCCCCGCCCCTAAACTAGTTCCCTGCCTGCTCTTCCGGTCTCTCCCAGTAGAATGTGGGCTCAGAGATGCTGTCTGTCTCCCGCAGAGCTGGATTCACAGCGCCTGGCACACTACTCCACACATCGTGGGTGCTCAATAAATATTTGCTGAAGGAAGGAAGGAGGGAGGGAAGGAGGGAGGAGGGGAAGGAAGGAAGGAGAATAAAAAAAGGGACCCACGCCCCCAAGGAAAGGAATTTTTTGCTCCAGTCATGTCCCACACGGGCTGCTAGAGTAATCTTTCTAAAACACAGAAACACATATCTGATGACATCATGCCCCTACTTAAAAAGTTGAAGTGATTCTCCACGGTCTCCAGGATGAAGTCTGAACTTCATACATGGCATTCGAGGCCCTTCAGGCCCCGGCCCAGCCTTCCTTTCCAGCCTCTACTCCCCCTGCCCCCCCCCACACACACTTGACATCTTGCTTCACTGACCACTTCCTTTCCCTAAATGCTATGGTCCTTCACATCCTTGCCTTTACATCCGCTGTTCCCACAGCCTAGGAGACCTCCTCCCATGACTGCACCCTAATTTATCCTTCAAGAATAGCTCAGATGTCACCCCCTAGATAAAGCCTTGCCCAGCTCCTACAATGTCACTCCACACCCTATGCCCCCTAGGAAAGGCAGGAAAAAATAATGGCCGCTTACATTTACAGACCACTTGTAATGTGCCAGGCACTCTTTGGAGGGCTTTGCATAGATTACCTTAGTTTAGCATCACATCAACCCTTTGGGGGACATGCTATTATTCCCCCTCACCCCATTTTCCAGAAGTGGAAACTGAGGTCTGGAAAGGTTTGGGTAACTTGCCCAAGGTCATCCAGCCAGGAAGTGGGAGAGCTGGACCTTGTTCACCACTGTGTGCCCAGGACCTAAACACAAAGGCACAGCCCATTTGATGTGCCTGTGATTATTATTTCGATGAATGAGTTCTAACAGGCAGTATCTTTTCTTCCACTCCCCGTACTGGGCAGAGGAGAGATTAAGAAATGTTTTGAGAACAAATGAATGGATGGATGGATGGATGAGTAAATGAATGATATGACTGCCTGCTCACCACGGTACGAATTTACATTTAGCCCGATAAGCATCCTGATGCCACGTGGTGAAGGGGTGAGGGGAGAGGAGGAACTGAGTGACCAGGGGAGAGTGTGCAAGCTGATAACTGGTTTGGGCTTATTTCTCTTAAAATCTTTGTTTACTCAAAACCTTCCTGCTGGGTAGTCTAAATTAATGTAATTTTCTTCCTATGTGCATATGAGGGGTTTGGCAAGAGAAAGCATTTGAAAACAACCTCCCACAGCTCAAGACAGATCTGGCCCAGGCACTGATACCTGCTCGGCCCCAGCCCCAGCCCCAGCCCCACGCAGCCACTGTTCACAACGGTCAGGATGAGGGAGCAGAGCAGAGCGGTTGAGGTGGACAGTGGGGCTTCAGGAATCACAATGCCTGGGTTTGACCTGGCTCTACCACGTATTGGTTGTGTGACCTTGGGTAAGTCACTGTACCTCTCTGAACTTCATTTTCCTCATCTGTAAAGGGTGGGAAAAAGAGCATCCACTTCACAGCTCTGGTTTTACCCCATGAGCACACTGCATGGTATCATAACCTGTGGCTGAATGCTAGCTGTGCTGTGTCATCATTTGAAGAATCTGATGTTACTGAACTCTCTTAAGAGCCCGTGAACCAGGCAGAATGGGGAGTACTCCCATCTTATAGATGAGGACATCTAAAGACCTTCCTTCATGGGTCAGGCAGCAAATAGCTAGCAGAACCACAGGGTCCCTCAGGACACAGTCCCGAATCCTGAGCCATGGCTGCCAGGAGGATGGACCTCACTCAGGGAGGACTTTCAGGCACAATCCTCCTGTGTTGCCGACAGTCAGTTAATCAAATAGTACCATCCTATCTTTATCCCTCCCGTAGCTGAGATGGTCCAGATGACTGAGACTCAGGGATGCCACCTCCTACATTATTCAATTTGCAAAACTGAGGTCTGACTGGATGTCCTGTGGCCAGTCAATAAAAGTTTGACTGTGTGTCAGACAATAAAAGTTTGACTGTGTGTGCCACACCTGATGCTGTGAGGGCGGATGAGGACTTCCTGCCATAGCTGGCGAGGTTAGCTTGTTATCTGGCTGTTTCAGGGGCAATGGGGCTGGTCAGAGGGAGGTCTCGGGTCCTACTTACCATGGTGGTTGATACGGTCTCCGTGGTGATGGAGGGAGTAGTTGTTATGAACTCCTTCCCCCCTGGGGCAGTCCCGTCAACCTGCTGGCCAGAGGAGGAGTTGTTAGAGAGGGAAGAGAGAGAGAGGGTGCCAGATACGCCTGCAACATCTGCCACCTGGGCTCGTGGCATCCCCAGGTACCAAGTGACAGGCAGTGTGAGCAAACATTCACTTGGGGAGGAGGTACGTCCACACACAGACCAAACTACAAAGGGGTCTCACAGGTCCTCCAGCTCATTCCAATCATTTTATTTCACAAAGGGAAAATAATCCCATATAATTTGATACATTCTACCCAAATTTCAATGCCTGTATTCTTTGACTGAGCGAGCCCATTGCTAGGGATTCACCCTTCAGGCATAAACTTTGAAAATTTCGCCAGGAAGTCTGAACAACAAAGTTCACTGCAGCATTCAACATTGACTGCAAAAGACCAAAACCATCACAGGTCCATTGATAGGTGATAAAGGCATGCTAAATCAGGATCCACTCCTAAGGGGGAACAAGGAGAGTGAGGTGGGGCCACATGTGCCAACATGGAGTGATCTCCAAGGTAAGTATTAAAAAAAAAAAAAAAAAAAAAAAAAAAAAGTAGGGATTTCCCTGGTGGCGCAGTGGTTAAGAATCCGCCTGCCAACGCAGGGTACACGGGTTCGATCCCTGGTCCAGGAAGATCCCACATGACGTGGAGCAGCTAAACCTGTGTGCCACACCTACTGAGCCTGTGCTCTAGAGCCCGCGAGCCACAACTATTGAGCCCGCACGCCTCAACTACTGCAGTCCGTGCGCATAGAGCTTGTGCTCCGCAACAAGAGAAGCCTCCGCGATGAGAAGCCCGTGCACCGCAACGAAGAGTAGCCCCCAATCGCCGCAACTAGAGAAAGCCCGTGCGCAAAAGACCCAACGCAGCCAAAAATACATAAATAAATTTATTTAAAAAAAAGAAAAAAGGTAAAGTGTAAAAGAGAATGATCTCTTTTGTGTAAAAAATTTAAATACCTAGAGATATAAGGACATATGTTGGTATGTGTATATTTTTTTCTCTGGGAGCACTCAGAAAAAAATTCATTTGGTTCTGTTTGAATTTCATGACTGTGAATATTTTGTTGTTATTTTGTTTTGATGTCAATAGGGGTTACTGAGCTGTAAAATTTGGGGCCACTTTTAGTTTTCTTTGTATAAAAACAAAACCAACACACATTACTAAAACAAAATAGAGCAGAGAGGGAGTAAGTTGCCCCGGGGTCACACAGCTTGTCAGAACTCAAGAGTCTTGACAGCTGCACTAGCAGCCTCATAAACCTCTATGCATGTTATAAAAGTGAGAGAAAAAAGTCTGGAAACAACAGAGTTGCCCACATTTTGTAGATTTACATCTTTCCTTAGTTCTTAAAACCAAGACTGGTCTCCAGGGCAAAAAAGTCCCCAGCACTGCGGTTCCTCTGGCCAGAAAGAACCAAGAGGGCATCTATCAGACCCTTAGTCTCCATTTTCAAAGCTTAAAAACCACAAAAGGAACTTGGGAAATGCACTGTAAGTAATGCACCTGTGTCTATTTACAACAGTGTCTCCAGGGGACTGAGTATGTTTCATCTTGCTAAGACAAACGATATTTTATCTTTTTTTTTCAGTTTGTTCATTCTGTCAGTCTGATGTGGAACCCCCGTGCACACACATGAAAATGACCCAATGTGAGCTGCTCTGACCCAAGCTGAATTGGGTTCTCTCTCCTCTTCCCCTGGGATATCTTAAGAAACCTCTCCACCTCCTTCAAGTGATCTGAAAGCCATGGTCTAATCCACTAACCGCTAGTCCTTATAACACTCCCAGGACGATGAAGGAGACATGACCCTCCCCATTTTACAGATGGAAAAATTGAGGCTTTAAGAGGTGTAGTCTGCCCAGGATAAGAACCCATCCCACCACCCACACCCGGAGCTCAGGGAGGACAATGAAGCTCAGAAGAGCATCAGGGTTAAAATGGTGGCTCCGGGGGAGCCAAGGTAGCAAGAGCTGGCCGAGGGGCTTGGCCATGATGGGGATCCCACCCTTAAATGCCCAGTACCTAGGCCCAGTGTGCACAGGAAGGCACAGGTTACCTGGGTGGTGTCCACAGTGGCAACTCGGGTCTGCAGTACAGCCTCCGGCTCGATCTTCTTCCTGATAGCCAGGCTGCTGACTGTCATGGTTTCCGTTTTCACAGGCTGTAGGCAGATGAGGGAAGAACACTCTGTATCTCAAGCCCCGGCACGACTCCTACTCACAGGCAACGGCAGCGCGGGGTCAGCAGGTTATCTCCCACCACTGCCGCTGACCAAGTCTCCAGAGGGGGTCGAAGGCCAGGGCCAAAGAGGCCTGGTGTGATGTCACAGACAAACAGCCCAAGAGGGGAGCCAGAACCACCAGCAGCACCAGGACAGCCTGCCCATGACCCTGCCACCATACCACCTCATGGCGGCTGCATGCCGGGTTTCAGGCTACCATTAAGAGAACATTCACCATTCAATTAACATGCTCTGTGCCGTGCCACACACTCAGCATTTTCCTGATAATACATAGTCCTGAATGACTTCAATGGTTATGCCACCACCTCCCAGCTGCTTTCTCTGAACTGTTCTTTAGAGTAGGAGTCACGCCTGGAGGCCCGGGATGGGGGTGGGGGGCCAGGCAGGAGATGTAAACGAGTGAAGCGGGCTTGTTGAGGACCGGGGTGAACTGGAGAGCACATGGGGTCCAATCAGGTTTGGCCTGAGTGACCGGATCATCTGATTTTTGTTTTTTAATGATATAAAAAAAAAAAATCCCTGGATTTTATATTCAGTGCCCTGATTTTTAAATCAAAGTCAAAGAAAACACATCTGCTAGCTAGATTTGGCCCAGGGCCACCAGTTTCCCACGCCTCCTCTAGAAGTCTTATGTTAAATGATCAGTTTCTTCTGAGTCCTCCATAGAACCTAGTTCATGGCTATACACACAGCAGGTGCTAACATATGTGAGCTGAATAAATGAATGAAAGTTAGCTTGTTGGGAGGGTGGTTAAGAGGGGATTCTTCTAGATGGTTGTAACTCGGAGATCTAGCCGTTCATTCAGTTAATCATTAGTGCCTGGAATATAAAAGCTTAGTGGAGCTGCCACCTGGTAGGAAAGCAGACCTGTCAGCCAGTAACCTGACTACTTGTGATACCACTGGAAGCAGAAGCAATGCAGAGCAAGGGGGCGGAGCAGGGAGCAACACTTCTGCCCAGGGTTGTCAGGAAAGCGTTTGCTAGGTAAGTGCTATCTGAACTTGGCCCTGGAACGTGACAAGTTTGCAAGGCAGAGAAAGGGAGGAGACACCTTCTCCAGAGGGTATAGCATGGAGTGAAAGCCCAGAGTAGATGAGCTCCTGTTTCAATGCCTGTAACATGGGAGGTAGCTGGGGCTGGAAGAGGTGGGAGAGCGAAGGAAAAATGTGAACAAAGATCCTCTGAAAGAAGGACAGGGAGCAGAGACACCCAGACGCAGTCTACCCCTGTGTCGTCCCCCCCAGGTGATGACGTTTCCTCTTCTCTAAGAGTTTCCACCACTACCCCAAGACCCCAGGCCCTGGGGAGGGGAGCCAGGGCCGCGATCAGAAAACACCATCTGGCTTTCAGAGCAGGGGGCAGGCGCCCCCGTGAGTCCACAAGCACACGGTCTCTGCAGGTGCCATGCAACACAGACAGGGGGAGGAGGAGTCGCGTAGGACCAGACTGCCTGTCATCACTTGACCTCAGGCAAGAGATGGGGTCATCGGGTTAAAGCGCCCAGGAGTGCACGTTAGGGGTAAACCGAGCTGCCGAACATGCGAGCACAGAACCATGCTGTTCTGCGGAGGGGCGGTCATGCAACACGGAACAGAGCTTCAGGCTGGTGGCTCAGTCTTCTCACACATGGCCCAGGGCCCTCTGAACATGCAGTGCCCAGTGGGCCCGGGTCCTGATGATGCTCCACTGTACCTCGAACTGGGGCATATCCGGGGTGGAGCAGGCCCCTCGGTCCGGGCTGTCCTCGATGCCCCCAGACTCGTCATCCTGGCTCGGGCCCCGTTTGTTGAGATCCCGGGAGAACACCAGGCCCTCGGTTTCTGAGTCACTTTTGTCTCGGTCAAGCTCAGGCAGGCTGCGGGAGAAGTCTTCGAAGGCGCTGCCGTGGTAGTCGCCGATGACCGTGAAGTCGACCTCGGCCTCCAGGCTGGACGTGGAGCTGACCGTGATGCTGGAGCACTTCCGCTCAATGGCCAGGTGGTTGTCCTTCAGGAACACCGCGTCCCTCTCCTGGTCCTGGTCCTCGTCTCCCGTGTCACTCTCTGGGGCCCTGGGCCGTGGCGGTTTGACTTTCTCCTCGGAGCCCTCCCTCAGCCCTGCTCTCTATGGCCAGGTAAAATCAAAGGAATGGGGGTATGGGATAGGGGGAGAGAGAGAGAGAAAGAGAGAAATCAAGATGGTGAATGACAGAAGAAATCTTGGGGCCATTCGATGCCCCAAATGGAAGAGGAGGTCAGGAAAAGAAAAACACCCCCGGAAAGGTTCTTTGACACCATAATAAGGTTAAAAAAAAAAAAAAAAAAAAACATGGGGTCATCGGGTTAAAGCGCCCAGGAGTGCACGTTAGGGGTAAACCGAGCTGCCGAACATGCGAGCACAGAACCATGCTGTTCTGCGGAGGGGCGGTCATGCAACACGGAACAGAGCTTCAGGCTGGTGGCTCAGTCTTCTCACACATGGCCCAGGGCCCTCTGAACATGCAGTGCCCAGTGGGCCCGGGTCCTGATGATGCTCCACTGTACCTCGAACTGGGGCATATCCGGGGTGGAGCAGGCCCCTCGGTCCGGGCTGTCCTCGATGCCCCCAGACTCGTCATCCTGGCTCGGGCCCCGTTTGTTGAGATCCCGGGAGAACACCAGGCCCTCGGTTTCTGAGTCACTTTTGTCTCGGTCAAGCTCAGGCAGGCTGCGGGAGAAGTCTTCGAAGGCGCTGCCGTGGTAGTCGCCGATGACCGTGAAGTCGACCTCGGCCTCCAGGCTGGACGTGGAGCTGACCGTGATGCTGGAGCACTTCCGCTCAATGGCCAGGTGGTTGTCCTTCAGGAACACCGCGTCCCTCTCCTGGTCCTGGTCCTCGTCTCCCGTGTCACTCTCTGGGGCCCTGGGCCGTGGCGGTTTGACTTTCTCCTCGGAGCCCTCCCTCAGCCCTGCTCTCTATGGCCAGGTAAAATCAAAGGAATGGGGGTATGGGATAGGGGGAGAGAGAGAGAGAAAGAGAGAAATCAAGATGGTGAATGACAGAAGAAATCTTGGGGCCATTCGATGCCCCAAATGGAAGAGGAGGTCAGGAAAAGAAAAACACCCCCGGAAAGGTTCTTTGACACCATAATAAGGGTAAAAAAAAAAAAAAAAAGAACACTTCTCAAGGGTGAGGACACTCCTTTCCGAGGGTCTCCGGCTGACGGCAGAAGCAAGTACAAAGCAAACATCCTGCCAGTTGGTCCTGGACAGGAGGCCCCATCCAAGGTTTGGATCTGGGAGCTTATCAGAAGCGGCACTGCGCACAAGGCAGGGATGGGAGCCCGGATCCCAGGCCCATCCGTGCAGGCGGACATCAAGGAGGCAAAAACCAAGGAGGGAGACCCAGGGATTCAGGACCACCCAGGACAGGGAGGGAGAGAGGCTGGAGCCAAGAGCTTTGAGGAACAAAGAGGAAGCCAACACGGTTTGTCAATTCCACTGAGTCTCTGTGGGAGGGGTCAGCATCATCTAGAGGGAGGAGCAACACCGGTAATTCCTGGGAGCTGGGCGCTACATCACTTCAACCCTGAGCTCCGTGAGTGGAGGTTCTGCTCCCATCAGTGTAATTGACAACAGCAGGCCAAGGAAGTGCTGGAGGGGGACCAGCAACTCTTGTCGGACATACATACCTCTCAACTGGCCTGTCAGGGATTAAACACCACACACATTTTTGGCTGTTTTACCACATTCTTTTTTAAGACCAATCTAACCCCCACCAAATATTTTTAAAGTACTTGGCTTCAGGTTCTAGAGACTCGGTACACTTAAGAGATTCACTTGCTAGACAAGCCTCCATTTAGCCAGTTTCTGCAAGGTTGAGAGGTGTGAGGACTCATTCCAGACAAGCCAGAGTTGAGCTGCCACAAGAGGCGCTGCCAGAGCAGGTGGGGATCTAAGGCAGCGATGCACCCTGGCCAGGCGAAGATGACCAGGTCATCAGGGCACCGAGGGGCTGCAGAGACCTGCGGGCCTGAGGGGCTGGTGAATCTCAGGTGCCCCCCCTTTCCTGGGGGATTCGCTGCTAAGCTGGTAACGTGCTTCTCTTGCCTGACCGCGTCTCCGGATTTGTTCTGGATTAGAGAAGACAGTTAGTCTTAAGGAGGCAGAAAGGAACTTGGCACTAGGACCGAGAGGGAGCCGGAAGTGAAGGATGGAAACCTCTGGACTGTCAGCTTCCCCAAGGCAGGAGCACCAGGGAAGGGAAAGGATGAAGGAAGATCGTTGGACAAGCCAAGCAAAACGGTAGGAACCCAGCAGGTGCGGGCAGCAAGGCAAAGCAAATGTGTAGTTTGCTGGAGGCGGTGCCACTTTCTCCACCGGCGCTGTGTGACCCTCCGGGCACCAGGTCACACCAAAAGCCGAGGGTCTGTGTGGCTAAGCTAACATGGGCCAAGCAGATGAACCCGTCATTCCGCCTGGGCTACGCTCAGGCCCGTTTAGGGAAAAGAACTCATAGGGATGGACAAGCAGCCTCCGGTGGCAGTAATGACGAGGGGCCACAGAAACATGCTTTTAAAGAGCTACGCGGCATGCGGTCAGCTCCCGGGCTGGGGGCAACATGGGGGCGGGGGCTCACGTGGCCAGTTCCCCCAGTAGCTTCCTCCAGTGTAGTTTCGCAGCCTGGACTGGGGGACACGAGCTCGACGTCCATGCATCTTTCCCGGGGGGATGGGGTAGAAATGCCCTCCCAGAAGTGTCTGGTAGCTGGCGGCATCATGGAGGAATGTGTGGCTTTGGGGGCAGCAAAGTCCTCTGGGGGCTGAAACTGAGCAAATCCCAGGTCTAAACGCCTGCTCCGCTGTTGCTCGACCTGCCCCACAGAGGCCTCCGAAGACAACTCATCTGCAAAGGCCCTGGTTTCACCCTGACTCGCCCAGCGAGTTTCAGCTCCGTGGGTCTCAAAGATCCGAATCTTGTTGGCCACAGAGGTCTTGCTAATATCTTCCAGGGAGCCCTCTTGACCCAGAGCCTGGAAAGAGGTCATCTCCTTCTGCTTCCCTGAAGGGAACAGCAACCCCTGGGCTTCTTCCGGGACGACTCTGGGCTTCCTGCTGGCGATGGGAGGGGCCCTGCGCTCACCTCCGTCTGGGGTCACAGCCAGCCCTACTCGGTCCTTGGGCTCCGGGCTCTCTTTAGGAGGATGGGCATGTTTGAGAAATACGGGGGACTGTTCTCCAAAGCGGCCCCTGAGCTGCACAGGCTCCCCCGACCCATAAGGGGCTGGGCTTGAAGGAGCGTCCTCTGGAGATGTCTGAGCCGCAAAGGGACGGGGTGAGGTTGGGAGGGGGGTGATCACCTCCTCCATCTGAAGAAACGCTGGGGCCTTGCTGTCCTCTGTCACAGGTTCTCCTGTTTGGATGTGAACTGGTCCCCTCTCTCTGGGCAGGAAGTTGCCTCTGTCCGGCTTGGCTGGCTTCCTGACATCGCTAGGAGGGACGGCCCACGGAAGGACACAGGCCTGGCGGTCTGGACGCATGCCCCCTCCTCTGTGAGGTGAGTGGTTCCATTCTCCTGGGGGACTTTTCTCAGCCTTTCCCATCAAATCTCCGCTCTGGGGGGCCTCTTCCTCTGCAGCTACTGAGGATGCTGGGTGGGGAGACTCTCCTTCCACCTCCCACCGGGCTTCGTACTCAGCAAACATCAGCCCTGGAGAAGGTCCCTTTCCGAGCTGCTTGACAAAGACCTCCAGGTCATCTGGTCCTTGGCTCCTGGGGGGCCCCGCCCCTCCCTCCGAGGAAGCTGAGTGGGCTTCACCCTCGTGGTGCCTGTTTCTGCCGACAGCGGCCGCAGAGCCCCACGGGCCTGAGGAGTCCAGCTCTGAGCTCTCCGTGAGCTCCTCCGAGAGCTTCCGCCGGGTCTCGCAGCCAGGTGGGGCATCTAAGTGCTCTCTCTTCTCCAGGGCCGGAGGGAGGACTTGGTCTTCAGATTCTTTCTCTCCATAGTTTAAATAGAAGCTTCTCTCTGCAAAGGAGGTGTCGGTTTCATCGCTCGAGTCGGCTCTGGCTTCTGTGTAGGCTGGGTCCAGCAGAAATGACCGGAGTCCCCCCGTGTCGGAGGCTGGAGAGGGGACATCCACCTCGGCAGGGCCAGTGGCCGGGGCGGCGGGTCTTCCACAAGCCTGGAACTCCTCCCACTTCTGCCTTAGCTCCGCCGGGCCCTCCAGCTGACCCCTGGAGGCCCGCTGCTTCCTGATGGTTGCCTCCCCAGGGTCCACCCTGAACCAGGAGTCCTCTGGGAGCGTTCCTGCCAGCGTGCAGCCTGCAGCCAGAGAAGCCCCTCCTGGGCCTTCCCTGACCCAGGGGCGTTCCTCCCACACTGACTCGAAGCCTTCAGGGCTCGTGATCATTCTTCCTTGTCGCTGTGTGTTTGCTCCTTTGGCTCCCACCTTTTCTTCTGTGGCCATTTCAAAGGTGAACTTGTCCACCAGGACGTCTACCTTGGAGAGTCTGCCGTCAGCAAGCATGTCTGCGAGGCCTGCCTCCCTTTCTTCCTGCTGTGTGGCGGTCACTTTTAGGAGACTGAGTTCTTCTGGCCTAATGTACTCTCTTTCTATAAATACCCAATGCTCTGAACCCTGCGTTTTAATTGGAGCAAGAAGAGTTAACATGAAATATCAGGCACCTGAAGAAATGGTTCACTTTTTCCCTCTGCAAGAAGGGACCAAGGTCAACCTGCCCCCTTGGTCAAGGTCAACTGGCTGGGGACAGGAAGGCAGGACAATGCTGGTCAGCCTCATCAAGGCTACTCTTCCCATCAAGGCACCCAACAAATTATCTACTGATGCCCTCAACCACCACCCTAACTGGGTAAAATGGGATGCGGTCTCATACCCTCCCCGTGTTAACCATCGGGGAATGGAAATCCACAGATGGTCCAGGACTCTTCCTCTTTTAATAATAAAGCTGCCAGTGTCAGAGGGGAAAGTAGCTTACATCACATGGAATCTTTGAAGGCTAGAGCCAAAAGAATTCCTAAGAGTTCCTGCAGTCCAATCTCCTAATTGTGCAAATGGGTAAACTGAGGCCAAGAGAAGGTCAGTGACTTTTTCAAGGTCACAGTTAGTCGAGTCAGGAAAAGAATGCCTGAGAGCCTTGCTGACTTACAGCCAATGGAATATGGGTCCCAACTGCGATCTAACGTCAAGTTGTTGGGGAGGCACTGAGTTAAGTTTCACAGGCCACAGCCTGAAATCGGACCTTTCTGCAAGAGCTAATTGGAAGGAAAGAGATTAGACCAAAATATACCAAACGGCCAGCTCTAGAGGTTAGTGCCAGTCACTACAATGGCTGAAACAGCTTGAACTTTGTGGAGTTCATTCCCAAAGAAACAAATACCAAGGCCTGTTCTTGGAGAATTCTAACAAAATCCACAGAAAGACTGGAAGAGGACTGACCTGAACATATCATAGAAGGAAAAGATCTAGAGGTCCAAGCATCATCACTGGTCCAAAGCACTGAGAGTACAGCACTGCCAACCATCAACAAAACAGCCCTCTACCTCCCCTAGAGTTTTTCAAGCAACACTTAAGAGGGAAGGACGGACTTCTAGAATTGTTAAAAAAGCAAGGCGGCCAGGAATTCCCTGGTGGTCCAGTGGTTAGGACCCGGTGCTTTCACTGCCAGGGGCCCGAGTTTGATCCCTGGTTGGGGAACTAAGATCCTGCAAGCCGCGAGGTGCGAACAACAGCAACAACAAAAAAGCAAGAAGGCCAATGGGATTTAAATCTTCTTGCAACCACAGAATACTTTCTTCACACAAAATCTGGATGGCAATCCAATATGTAACACAGATACAGGGCCCCCCGCCGTGGAAGTTGGAGGCCTGGGCTGCCCTAGTGCCCGAAAGTGCCTCCCTCCTTTGAAACCACTGCTCTGACCCAAGTCCCTCATGGCACAGATGTGGAAACTGAGGGC